CTGCCCCAGCAGGATTGAACCTTTACACAACCACCAGACAGTTCAGATGTCAGTCTCACTGCTACAAAGAAGACTTTAAAGTTTACTTAACTAGTTTGTAAATAAAACTGGCACTTTACACACAAACGAACCTTGTATTGTCAAGGGAAAAGCCTGATTTGTCTGGTTTCTACAACAAATGCAAAGTGTTGTACTTACCACTAATGGCCAATTCAAAATTCACTGAACTAAAGAAACAATCTATTGACTAAGCATGTAATTTAGATTTTGTTTTCTTTAATGAACTGGAGAATTTTTAAGTCAGTCCTATGTGTATGTAGACTTTAGTCAGCTGGTGCCAGTAGAAGATGATTTGTGTATTTTACTCTGGACCCCAGGTAGGGTGTCAGCACGTCTTGCTCAACTGAAGAATGATGTGTTTCAGGGCAAGGAGCTTCTAACTTAAGTCACTGGGAATTGAGGTGTGATTTGGGTGACTGCTAGTGACCCAGTGACATGTGAGGAACAGTATCATTGTTTCTCAGATTGTACTTTCCTCAATTTCTACTTGGTGTGGAAAGACTTAAAGGTCTTTGGATTTAAAATGCTATTGACTTTTCAGGTGGTCCTTAAACAAGGTGACCTGTCTCAGCTTTCCTATTAATAGTGGTGAAACCAGAACTGAAATTGGCTCTCCTAGATGTTGATTATTTCTAACTTTGTAATAGGTACTGTTGAGACTTGATCATTTTTACTTGTCTCTTTAATTAGAAAATATGTTTTACTCTGTCTATTTAGGTTTTCTTTGTTTTGGGGGAAAAAAAATCACCAGTATTATCTTGAAGACATTCTAACTATTCTAACATTTGCCTGAATATGAGCATCACCTGGTGAATTCTTTAACAGGAAGGAAGATTCTATTAAGACATGTTCCATTCAAATGTTAATTTCAGGTAGAGGTATAGTTAACAGCCAGTTTAGATCAATCTACCTTTGGAATAAAAAAACCCAAGGTGTTACACAGAAGATGGTTCATGACTTATATTGATCTTTGGCCCTGTTTGTTAGCTGACTGGGTTGTGTATTAGCTGACCATTTGTAAGTTTCCTTTTATTGTATAGTCTTTAAATTCCTATAATATGGGACTCTTGTATCTTAAATTATTGTGGTTTAAAGTTAATAAATTCGGGTTATATTGTCCTTACCCTTGTGTGACACTAAAATGAACCCTTTGCCTTGCATTGCCAGATGTAAGTTGGGAAGAGATTTTAGGATTCTACCTCCCATCAGCTCAGTAATGTGGGAATTCATTTCTCTCAACTCAGATTGTTTCCTAATCTGTTTAAAGGAAACTTTCAGCATGAAGCATTTCATTGTTGACTAATTCATTGTTGAATACTGCACAAGTGTTAAATGATTGAAATGAAACTGTTCTTATGTCAGTTCCTTGATTGGCAAAATTAACATTTTAGTTGAGGAAGAAAAAGCATTTTTCATAAAGGCTTGCAAACCTGTTTGCTTTTCATCTGTTCTGGGGGAGGTATTTCCCTTGTGCTCATTCTGGCGCAAGTTACCTAGGAGGCCCAGAAGCAGCAGCAGCTGCCCTGCAGGTGGGATTTGGGAACAGAACTGAGTTTCTCCCTCTCTGACAGCGATGGGCTAGCCACTCCTGGGCCCCATCTCAAAACATGGGGCTGAGCGTCTCCCCCCTCACCCAGCTGACCTGTGGGCTTCCGTGAGGTTTCTGGTCTGTACCTGTCTATAAAATCCTTTTCCTGACAGTCCCACCTGCCTTCCTAGAGCCTTTTAGAACTCACAACTCCTGTCTCCCCAAGCTAACCAGTCCTTGCATGCTGCACCCCTGGGTCTCCAGTGCTCATTCTGCTACAAAGCTGCCTTGTCATGTGCGGTCCTCAGCCTGGAGATGGGGCCAAGAGCCAAGAGGAATCCCTCCCTCTGGAGTTTTAACTCCTAAAGAAGAAAAACCAGGTAAGTAGGTCTGAAGTGTTGGGATGTGGAGCCAGATTAGCAAAGGGGCAGCACAGAATGCTGAGCAGGTAGCACTAGGTGGGACTGGCCTAGTGGAGAGGGTGACAGTTCTCTGCAGTGGGGCCACTGGTGTGATGAGTCTTGGGATTTGCTGTTCCTGCTTTCTGAGGTTATGGGAGGGGACAAGTTTTTGTCCATTTCTACACCTCAGCACAGCTTCGAAGGATGAGTGACTGGCAAATGAGGAAGTAATCCCGTGGGAGCTGAAGTGTTTGGGGTGGTAACTCCGCCTTGGATAAGGTTAACTCAGAGTTACACAGTAGAGGGTTTTGCCTTTGTACCCAAAGGTACTTGATGAATGTCCTGGACTTGGAAAGTTAGGTTGGGGGCAGACCCACAGAAGTAGTGCGGGGCGGGTGTGCTTCAGGAGGGTCTTAAGTGCTAGGGCAGCCTCACTGGGTGGCCTGCTACCTTTTCAGCTTTGAGTATACTGGGTTTCCTGGGTGCTTTTTAAAAATACCAGTGCCTTGACCCTACTTTGGAAAAGGCACCCTGCTCAGTTTTAACTGGATGTGTTTTCTGATTTGTGTCAACTCCAGACTTGCTTACCTAAGGGTTACATTTCGTTGCATGTGAACAATTGGGTCCCTGCTCATGCTCAGTGTTGAGCCTGGCTGCTGAGAACAGGCTCATGAAACTTACCCCTCTGTCTGCCAGACACTGCCTGGACTTGGGGTATATCTCAGGGGTAAAGCATTTGCCTAATGGTGAGGCCCTGGGTTTTCCCCCCTGATACTGGGGGGGAAAACAGCTCATAAAGCAAGGTCATGAGTTTATCACGTCATCTGCCTGAGCAGCTGCCTGGTGGTTTCTGCGTGTCGTGGAGGATCAGGGCTCATTGGTGAGAAGCTGCAGTTTTGAAGCAGAGGTTGCATGGCTTGGGTTCTGATGAGAATCCAAGTATCTCCTGGTTTCTATTTGGGCACCAGAGAAAGAGGACACATCAGCGTTGCCTCCTTGTACTCCCCGAGAGGGGAAGTGTCACATTAGAACATTTTTACACCTACTAGCCGACCATTGCTATTGGAAGGCTCAGTAACCACACTCACCTTGGGCTGAGCTCTACAGACCAAGATGACCTGAGAACCCTCTTGCTTCAATGATCATTAACAGAAAGTTAAGTGGGTGATGGCTTGCTGAGGGGGCAGTTTCCAGATGCAGGACACAAGTGACCCTGGAAGCCTATCAGAGCACCCTGCAAGTGGTGGTTAGCCTCTTGGGGAAATTGAAGGGTGAGGGGCTAACATGGCTTGAATGTGCAAGAGTTGACCTACAAAAGGGAGGGTTTGGGGCTAGAACTTCCCCAAAAAGCCAGGAACCAGCTTAGTGGGAACTGGACAGTAACCTCATGGCACAAAGTAGAGGGTTCGGTTTTTTTTTTTTCCCCCCAAAAAATGTTTGTTCACCAAATACACAAATGAATGAATCAAGAGTAAGAGTTTTGGGCTGGGGTTGTGGCTCAGCAGTAGAGTAGTCACCTAGCACGGGCAAGGCCCTGGGTTCCATCCTTGGCACCACATAAAAATGAATAAATAAAGATATTGTGTCCAACTACACCTAAAAAATA